TGTAAACTCTTCAATTTGTTGGGGGGGGGGGGGGGAGAAAAAAGTCACTCTCAAGCATATTACTAGTTTTCTGTGGCAGACAATTCACTCCACATTTGACTGAAAAAAAATTTTTTTTAGAGGTTTCTGCCTTAGGGTACATCCCTCCCTGGGATATGAGAGAGAGAGAGACACAAAGAGAGAGAGAGAAAGAGACAATGAGAGGGAAAATGAGAAATCACCCCCCCAGGGGAGGTGTCCACGTCTCAATTCTCCTCTCAGGATCTTGGACACTCTTGCACATGGGTTGACCCTGAGTTTCAAGCCACCTTGTCAGGACTCGAACCACATTGGCCAAGTGGGAGTCCAGCAACGTAACTGCTATGCCATCTGCTAGCCCCCACATACGACTAAAATCAATAGTCATTACAAAATGCTCTAAGTTATTTCCTTTTCCAACTCAATTATGACAGTTTTTTGAAAATCTCTTTTTCTGGTATAAGTTATTTTATTAAAAATTGGAATTACTTCAAGATAGATTATTATTAGGGACCAGCAGGTAGTGTGGTGGTTAAGGGTGCTGGACACTCCCACATGGCCGACCGTGGTTCCAGTCCTGGATCTGGTGGCTTGCTTTCTCACTTTCCTTCTCTCTCTCTCTCTAGTCAAATTAAAATGAATGAATAAATAAATACATAAAAGCAACGTTAAAAAAAAGATTATTATTACATCAGCAATAAAAGGCCCCATTATTTTCATACTTTTGCTGTGTAATTATGGTAAAGTTCTTTCTGCTCATATCACTATCCCTTAGAGTATTGCTAACCTTTTCCTAGAGCCAGTTTCCCTAAAAAAAAGAGAACTTCCTCAGTCCCTTCCTTGTCTGGTAATTTCTAAGTAAAGAAGAAAGTCCAAACGCCTCTACTTACCAGTCATTGCCATGATATAAGAGACAGACATAAAGACAGGTACTTTCAAGATTTGTTATATAGGTAAAAACAAAACCAAATGCTAGGCATGTATTTAGGCCATGCTAACCTAAAACTCAGTGGACCAGTAATGATGTTCACATTTAAACTGGAGCCTCAATGGTCAACAAGAGACCACCATTAATTCATTCTGAAGCAGTTTCTTAGATTTTTTTTAAGAACACTAAACTATATTATCAGTAAGAAAACTATCTAGTTATCAGCAAGGATAAGCATCAACATTCTCTAGTATCTTATATAAATTATACTAGTCCTTTCTGAAGCAGTTCCTTAAGATCATATATTAATTAGTAGGTGTGACAAAGAACCTAGGTATCTCATTTTATGTTTTAAATATTACAGATAATTCAAAATATGCACCTTTCTTTCTTTCTTAAACTGTATACCAGATGTTCTTCTACTTTTTTTTTCATTCGTTATTAGTTTATCTTTTTAGAGAGAGAAAAAGAGGGGAAGGGCATCGCCAATAAGGTCTTCACTCTGCCATCCATCCCTTCTCAGCAGCCCCAGCTCATGAGCCCGTGTGAGTGTGCCCAGCATGCTCAGGAGTTCCCAGGGCATAAGCCAAGAACCTCTCCCATGTGAGGCTAATTATGTTAGGACTGCACCACCTCCAGGTCCCAAGATATGCATCTTCCATATAAAGACCATGGGCCATTATTTCTCAAATTGAGTTCTAAAGGCAACTAGAATCAAAATATTCTCAACAGTCCTATATAGAGAGTACGACATAGTTTCTACCATCAATAGCAAGAGTTGGCACAGTTTTCTGCAAAGGGCTGAATAGTAAATATTTTACACTTGCACGCTATTAGGTCTCTCACAACCTTTCAACTTACCATTGCAAAAATGACCACAAGCACCACATAAATAAGAGTGTGACTGTGCTCTAATAAAACTTACTTATAAAAGCAGGTGATCGCTAGCTGTAGTGTGTCAACCCTTGGTCTAGACAGACTCCATAGTCACTACAGTCTCTATCATCTATAATTTCAGCCTTCTATAAGTTCTCTATTACAACTTTCAACTTTATCAATAACCCAAAAATGAACACACGTATGATGCACACATAGGGGCTTCTAACACTTGAGTACTTTAGGTGCCAGGTACATTTCTAAGTGTTTTATATGTATTAACTCATTTTATTGTCACAATTCCTATATGAGGTGGTAAATGAAATACATCGACATCAATCCTTGTCACAATATGACACATCTAAGTGGTAAAGACAAAATTCAAACTCCAGCAATCTGGTTCCAGAGCCCCAAAGTCTACCCAACAAAAGCCAAGAACAACTACACAATTCCAGTATCCAGTTTGTACTGGGTCATCAGAAAAGTCATGATGCATTTTTGCACAGAAAGACATACAAAAATACGTCATAACTTTTCCAAGGACCTGATATTTTTGTTTATAATTGAGTTAGCACTGGGTAGTAGTACTTTTAACTGCTGAGTCATATTTATAATAATATGCTTCTATATAAAAGCCAAATCACTAACAGTTGGCTATTACATTGTTTTGACTAAAAAATGTAGTGAGAGACCTGAATCAACACATGGCACAGGGTGGTAGAGCTGGTAAAAGGAACTGAGGTGCAAGAACCAACCCTGCAGTAGTTACCAAAATATACACTGTGAGCAATTAAGTAACATAGCACTGTCTTTCAATTAAAGTGGCTTTGCCTTTTCCAGATCTACTCCTTTGGCATTCTGAATATATAAACAACAAGCTAATATTGATACATTTTTTTAAAAAACATGATGATTCATATATTGCTGAACTCAAGAGGGTCACAGGGATTTTTCTTTCTCAGTTCTTCATATAAGGACTATAATATGGATAAAGGTTCAATAGATTACTCAGGTTTTGGAACACATTAGATTAAGACAAATGTGTATCACATAGGAATCAGAATTAAGGCAAAACAAAAGGTACCATTCTGACTATATTGATGAGGCAAATGGATCTTTTCTCTCTTACTATATGTTAATAATTGCCTTTCATGTTTTCCCTTAATGCAATGATTGTTTTGTTCTTTTCTATGTAGGCTGAAAGACTTATTATGTGTGAATATGTATCTTTAAAAAAATTCAGTTGAAGCTACTTTAACATGTATTAAAATAAAGAGCTTTTCTCTAAAAGAAGATTCTTATTGTTGGAGTGTAACTTACTTCTTGAAGATAGCATCTTCTTATGAATGGGTGAATGACTAATTCAAAATATTAGAACATTAAATTAACTCAATGCTTGAATATGTTATTCAACTTAAAGTGGAGTTTAGTTTGGAAGTTACAACTTAGTGCTTTACTCTAGAAGAGAAATTGTGATGCTCTCAACCTTAGAAAAAAGTTAGAAAATCTGTTCCAATCTATTAAAACCTTATATTCTTCAATTAATTTGTTTACAAAAAATCAACTGAAATTGTTTGCTATAGCTAATAAGAGTTTAACAAAATATAACCAATTATACTAATAAGTGGTTACTAATTACTAAGACAAAATTTCTTTGAAAATTGATTAAAACTCTATTAGTCTTACTCAATTTTATGTTTCCCTGAAGAGAAAATACTTATTAAAATTTTGGAACTAGAATAATCCAGTTTACTCAATGATATCACTCAACTATAAACCAAAAAATTATTATTTTTTGAATTGCCAAAGGGCATGTACGTTCACCAAAGCAACAGAAAACAGAAAAAGGTAAGAAAGCAACCTCCAATGGGGCATGATCACATTATAATCCCTTCTCTTTAAGTCTTCCTTCCCATCAGGACTATGAGTATGCAGGTGAGTAAGCAACGTGCCCTGTGTGTTTTTTCAAACCACTGGGCTACGATTCTAACCTTGTTTAGCTATATGAAATTCTGTTCCCTTAACCACAGGCTATAGGGCTGGCCCAACTAAACTTTTAAAAGCTTTTTAAGGGCCAGCCAGTGGCATGGTGGTTAAGGCTGCTGGATCCCATACTGCCAACTTTATGACTCCAGTACCTGACCTAGAACTTGAAAGATATACCAAGAATGTGTGTGTGTGTTCACAAATCTTAAAAGAATGAAGGAGAAGGGATTGTGGCGTGGCCATTCCCCAAGGGGTGATTTCTCACTGTTCCTCTCTTCCTCTTTCTCTAATGAATACACAGACCCTATATCAAAAACTTAAAAAAAAAAAAAAATTATTGTGCTATTCAGAGTTTAAATCACATTTTTCCTCCTCAGTTTCAAATGACTAGATGTGTCTGCAAGTCCATCCCAACTAAAACCCGGTGGATGAGGCAGTAATATACCAGTCAGTTCATGTTAAACTTCTTCACTAATATTTCTCAGATAAAACTGGTATCAACTAGTATTCCAGAAATAAAGTCATTGAGACAAATAATCAATAGCTTTTTTATACCTTATCCAGATTCCTTATATTAAAGCATCAGAAGATCACTGTATTAAAACACTTAAACCTAAAGATATTTTCTTAAATAACACCTTTTCTATTAAAAGAGAAACCTAGAAATACAGTGCTTTTCTGTACAAATAAGGAGTTAATGAACATCCACAGTTGCTAAGTTTGAATCATAGTTAATTCAGTGAACGTACCACTTCACGAATTTGAGATTTTGATATCCACATTTGTAAAAGCAATTTCTCTTCATTTGGAACTCAATTGAAAACAAAATCTTTTGAGAACAGTTAACTCTAGATACAAAAAATGTCTAAAATAACAGTTCATTGTGTTTAACACTGTACAAGACAGTACTAGTCAAGAACTATGATGGTGCATATATGTAATGACTACTCACAAACTGAAGAAAAAAAGTCAATCTTGGAATTACATGTTTCCCTATCATGCTAGCTTTTATTTATCATAGGAAATGGGTAGTTGACTCTAAGAGAATACAGCAAATAGCCAAAAACAGTTGAGATTAAAATGAATTCATAATAGTGTAGACTATGACAATGGGTAACTAAATATGCAAATGGTGAACCA